ACTCGGGGAAAGGTAAGTGATATCTAACAGTGAATAGCCAGTAATCATGTTTATTAGCGGGAAATGGTTCTGAACCCCTGGTGTGTGTGATTGTGTTTTGTCTGGCTTCCAGCCTGGGCCTTAGAACACCCCTACCTAGCCACTGTGATTGAAGTATGCACTCCAGCTCCACTTCTCCATGGGGGGTAAAAAGGTGCATGCAGTGTTTGTGTGCCTTTTTACAGACTGGTGTTTACGTGTATGTTGGCCAGTGTGTTTCCAGAAAGAAGGAACGTCAGACAATGAATACCTCTCAAAGCCAAAGAAAGCACCTCTTCCCATTTCAAACTTGTACAGCCAGTTCCCACATTGCTCTTATTGCTATGGCAACCAGCATTCTCTCCTTGGGCTCTGCGTGCATCCAATCAGAGTGAGACCTTTGTAGAGATTCCTCCAGGCTCCACTTATTCAACTTACCCCACCGGAACAGTTTCCACAATGAAAAGGCTGAAACAAAGAGAGTAGAGACTCCCTCGCTGGAGTATGACATCAAATACCGGGGCTACGGGGTCAGGTTACAGGGAATGCGGAAGCGAAACGTTGCCAAAAGTTGCGGCAAACATGACAACAGCGAACATAGAACCATTTCAGCCGAAGCCTCCGAGCCTGAATACTTGGCAAGCGGCTCTGGCAGTGGTTTAAGCTTGATAAATCAAAATGGATTCCGGCTGAGCCTATTTATGTAATTCCTGAAAACATATGGATAGGATTTAGTCGCTCAATACTTTCAACCTTCAACAATGACATTCAACACCGCTTCACCAGTCCATTAATCTTCCATGAGAATAGATTCATCGTCTGAAGCACTGTGGGACTGTGCTCAGTCAGCATCAGCCTGAACAGTATTTAACAAAGCAACCTCAGAAATATCAGGTTCAACAACTTAAAAGACCTATTTTGTTTTGGCATAAAGCAATATCAAAACAGTGGAGTCGTTATAAGAGATTGCTATTTTAGCTTATTTTGGTTTGAATGAATGAGTTCTAAATGATCAATGAATAATAACTGCCATGCATCATCAACCTAAGGTGTTGACCACGCACATCACACACGGCTTCTCCCATATTTATTCCAATTCTGCACAAAAAAAAAAAGCAGCATGTGAATACAGGCAGGTGCAGGCATGACCTGGGACTTGCAGACACAAATCGTCCAAAGGGACCTTTTGCAGGGCCCAGATGGATGTTCAGCTGTTGGGGCACTGGCTGGGTGATGGAGGCGAAGCATAATTTCACCCGACTGCCATGTCACGAAATGTCACAGTCTGTTTCAAACAATTCAACTGCAGGCAATGAGAGAGAAAATAGGAAGGAGGAACAAGACAGGGAGGGAAGGGGAGGGAAAAGCTTGATTTGCAGTGCCAGAGGTGGTAATAAGCATGTCTGGCCACTTCCTGGGAGACAGCCTATTCATCAGGTTTATTAAGAGTCAAAGGTGTGGGGAAATTTAAGTCAACTTGAGACTTGATTTGATCTGGTATGCTAGCTGTGTCGTCATGCTTCCACTGTGGTTTATGACTTCAAAATTAGGGCAAAGACTGTCATCGTGCAGATGCAGATCTTCTCTCACATGCAGGGTGTTTGAAAATACGAGGAATATTAAATAAGATAAGAAATATACTTTTCCTATGTTTTAGCTCTGGTACGACATTGTCTTAATAATGTATAAAAATGATATTGGGTGGCATTTTTTTGTTGTTGTCCTAGAGCACAGGTGCCAAACTCAGGCTCAATTAAATTAATGTAATGTTTTATGTAACACCGTGGACCGTCTCATGTCATGTATTTAAATATCTGAATGGAATATATTTTAAAAAGATCAGTCGATGGACAAAAACCGGGTGACTACTGCAAGTACGATCACAAATGAATAGCAACTAAATTATCTGCTAATGATTTCACACTTACTTTGCACTCGCTGGGCCGGCGGCAGACAGTACAGTCGTGTGATAATGAGCTAATTATAGGTACAACATTCCTACTTCCATATCTAAATGCTTGTCTCTAATAGGGAACATTTCGAGTTATTGAGAAGCAGAGAGAGAAACAGACAGATAATTGATGCAAGCAATTATGAGTTCTGTGTAGGAACAAATTGGTCGGCATATCTGGACATTTAGGGATACTGTGACCTCATTTAAATCGCAGTGTCAGGAAATAATTTTGAGAATTTACCGAGGAGGTGGCATGGGCATAGTTTAATGCAGACCGGATCTGGTTACGTTACATAAGCAGTTTACTTGGACAGTGTGACTCAGTTCAGGCAAGGAGCCTACGGAAAAGACTGCACTCCAAGGTCAAGGACGACACATTATGTGCAGTCCTGGTACGCTTCAGCAAATTTAATCATAATAGAGATCTTTACCACAACAAATATTCCTTATGACATTAATCAATTTCCATAAGCTGCAATTTGAGCATCTGAAATGGTTTAACCACATGCACACAGGGTTTTGAACATCCTGTCATGTTTTCACCAGAAAGCCAGTAATAACTGAGTTCAGTCTGACTAGCCATTACAGAGACTTTAGCTGTGTTTGGGCTGAAACCGCTTCAAAAGCCGGGGTAGACGACGTGCTTGGCTTTTAACAGTATCACTTCCAGATGTTTCATCACAAAACAACTTCCAAAGATTTTTACCACAAGAGAACCTTCTCATGTGAGGAGCCGGGGCACACAAGTATAGATTTCAGGAACCCACAATTTTCACATTTTTTCTAGTCACATCAATTAAGTGCTTGTGTAAGTAAAAGTTTAACAAGCTCCTCCTGTTGCTGTGTGTTAACAGGAGCTCCACACAACCGGCTGTATGAAAGGCCTCAGTCCAAAGATGATGGCGCACGGGTTTTGAAACGGCTTGCACAACTTGCAAGACGTGGAAGCTACAAGCTGAACACAACAGGAAGCTTTAGATGACTATAGAAAAATCACTACTGAAAAATAGGGCTGCATTCATTATAGTCTGCTTCTTGTGCGTCTCATCAGGCAGGCTAACACTGACTGGCGGGCTGTGACCCTCAACTTCGGAGCTTCTCTCTATTGCACTCGCCTCTCATCAAGAGCCTTGGGTAGAAAAAGGGAGTAACATGCTGTTTACTTGCAATCCCTTGCCCGTAATTGCCAATTTATTTGATAGGCAGCCGGGTAATGATGGCATTTCACCCCTTACCGCAGAGACTAAACGGTAGTGAATCATCCCGAGCTCTCTGGCCTCCCTGATCCGGCAGACTCACTCTGCTCGTCTGCCACCCAAACTGAAACGATGGTGGGGGGAGTGGGGGAGGTGGGGGGGTGACTGCCATGTCGGCTTCAAAGAAAACCCAAAAGGGAACCTGGTGCTTCAGAGCAAATGTAGCTAGGCCTGCCAATTTATCTTGGGTTTGGGGGTGAGGCAGACACAGCAGAGCTGATGTGCCATTTGTAGGCCTTAATGAGCTGGCAGGATGGAGAGGGGAGAGAGGCAGAGTGGGAGATAGAAGGCTGCCGAGCCGGATCCCAGGCAAACTCACTTCATCTGCTTCATTGGACTGTAGTTGTTCTATGAGAGTGAGGTCGTGCTACAGAAAATACCATTAGCAACCTGATGGTCTAATGAACAGCTAGGGTCAGCGCTTGTCCGTGTCTCACGCTGCTCCTTGAGCCGATATATGTGTCTTCGATGCTTTTTCTTGTGTTTTGATACATTCACATAGCATCTTTGTGCATACGAAACACATTAGCATTTTAGCTGCATTCCGCACTCTAACAACGTCCACTTATTCATATTCACTTGTCTGTTTTGAATAGTAGCACTTTACTAATACAATGTTACTTTTCACACGTGTAATAAGAAAGACAATCACATCATGTAAAATAAATCCCACACCTAACACTGATATTCTCTCTGTTTTCTGGACTCCATTTCTCCTCCACATTCTTTTCAGGTTAAGGATTTCAGATTTGACTTTTACCTTTTAAAGCCTGTAATGGTGGATTTTACAGCATGGCTGGAGGGGACTTGTTCAGAGGTCTGTTGGGACTAAAGATGAAGTCTCACACTGTTTGATCGCCAAGGTCTAAAAGTCTGTGTTCATACCTCATACCTCCTGTCTTTGGAAGACGTGCATCGTCTCCTGTGAGATGTCACAACCGAGCCAGCCAAGCGGGAACACTGGTACGTTAACTCTCCAGAGTAAAGAATTGACGGCTGAGGTGAAAGTGATCACAGGGAGCAATAGAGGCTTCATAGTAGTTTGAAAATGATAAAAGAATTTTGTTTTTAAGACTCTGATGTTTCCAAAAGAAAGTTCCCTCATCATAGCATACTTTTGCTTATTTTACACCTCTACAATTATAGCAGAGTGCAGGTATCATTTCAGTTTCTGTTGTCAACCATAAATGACCTTTTCAATGTTGTGCCTGATCAGGCGTGGTGAAGCTACATGTACGTTTTGCTCCACTTCCACATGACATGACACGACTCCCTCTAAGACTTGCTCTCCTCACACCTGACAGTTTTAATTATGGTCAGATGTCTGATCGCTTTACCGTGGATTCTCAACACAAATCAAAGAGCGGGAGCATGGGTCTGGGAACAGGGTCTCTGGAGGGCAAAGACACTGACAGTCACTCCTTTCTTTTTTGCCCGCGAGCCTACAACTTCTCCATCACTGCTTTGACGGAGGTCTTTCACAATGAGGAGGGAGGGAGGGAGGCGTTTAAGGTGTAAAAGCACAAAGTGCTGCTGTATAGACAGCTTATATATGGGATTTCAATGATGAGGATCTTGAGTTGATTTTGTAAACCAAATTAATAGTGAAATAGTAAAATGATGTCCTCAAACTAACGATTGTACGGTTAAAAAGTGATTAATTCAAGATTGAGTGGTTAAAAAGTGGTTGGAGGAGATGATAGAATTTGACAGATGCTAAAACAGCCTCAACTGGGCTGTTAAACACGGCAACTGTTTGTTGATGTACTCACATCTGTCAGTCTGTCTCTGGAGCTGCTCCTGAAGGAAGGCTTCGACGCTTCACTGACACTTTCACTGTCGCTGTCTTTACAGTTTCTTTGTCCTGGCTTCAGCTGCAAAAAAGAAAACACAACACACAAGGACACCAACAGTTAACAATGTGTAACAAAACTGTTAACACAGCAGTTTAGACCTCTGCTAAGGACGGCCATCCTGCAGAAAGCCTTCATTAATATGTGAGAACTGGCAGGAGCTACGGCACCGTCTCTGTAAATCTGTCATACTTCTGAGTGTTCCCAGCGCCAACAACACTGCCTGCCAATGACAGACGCCATCTGATCGCACAGTAAGAAACTCCTCTCAGCCCACCAAACGCAGAACAGGGACAAAGACCTCTCCAGAACTTTCAAATGGAGCCGCTATCCTCTCCAAGCAGACACCACATGCTGAGGCAGCAGGAGCTCCGCAAGTGTCATCCTCCACACACACTTTGTTCAAGACGCAACAGAAAGACATGAATAAAGAGGAGGACGTGCCAAATCACAAGCATCTGAGTCTCTTCAAAATTTGGAGAATAATGAAAGAACCTGGGTGGTGCCGGGCTGAGGGGAAGAAGATCGGGCCCATGTTCCCCGTCCAGGTTTATAATTGAAGACCTCTGGAGCTCCCATGCTACTCATTCCAGGCCAGGCAATTATTGAAGGTTTTCATTTCAAACCGTTAACAGCATTTACAGGATAGGGCAAAAAAAACAAAACTCTGGGTTTGGTGTTTATGTGTTATTATAATTTATTTCCACTATTCTCCTTTCAGATCGGCCACCATTTAATGCTGTGAAAGGAGCCGATGTGGGAGAATAACAGAAGAACCCCTTGAATTAGTCTGATAATTAAAACAAAATGTTCAATTCACTTAGCGTTTAATTCATGAATAGCATCTCTAGGGAGAACTACACGATGAGTAGAAAATGGATTGGAAGTGTTACAAGAGTCGGAGCGCTGGGAATGTCTGATGGAACCTTTTGACTGTGTGTGTGTGTATGACCACTCAAGCAGTGCCCCTAAGACTGCAGACAACATGCACTGACACGTGCACACCGACGCTCTGTGCTATGATAGCACTAATTACCTCTAACACATTTTATTTCAACACAAACCAGGTCGTATTTTTACCCCTTTCTCTTGCAAATGCCAGTTGTGTCAGAAGGGAGTTTACATATTTTTTCGAGGGGGTGAGGAGAATAATATCTCATGCACACCGGCCTGTGAACTGATCCCTGAAAAGAAAGGCAGAGGAATGCTGTTTATGCCCTTGTCTGTGGCTCCTTTATCAAAACATGTTGACCTATAATATTTATCAGGCAGGCAGCCTCCCTCCTGACAGTGCTGGGCTTTGTGCACCAGAATACTCATGAATTCATGAATGTGCAAAAACAAAAACACGGCAGCCTCACCGCACACTCCTGTTGATTCCAGCACCAAACGTTCAAAGCTCAGAACCAGAGACAGAAACCGTTATCCGGGGGAGAATATAATCAAAGAAGTGCAGCACAGATAAAGAGGTTTGTCTGCCATTAATCAATGCGCTATCAAGCTGACTGCAGCCTAATCACAGTGTCTGTGTTGTGGCTTATCACTGGAGGGGAACTCTATGAAATCAGAAATCTTGCATAAATTTAACTGTGTGTAATGTCTGAAGAACATATCTAATAAAGACATTGCAATAAAGAGCAGCTCATCTTTCAAGGCTATTACATAGCTCGGGACCTGATTACACAGCTATTTGAGAATGTATCCCTCAGCTTGTTCCCTTTAATTTCCCCCTGAGCTCCTCTAAATGACTTCGGAGTTACAGCTTTTTCTTCTTCCGCCGTCCCTTTTTGACGCTCGGATGATGGATTCATTTCTTTTTTACGATGTGATTAATAGCTTTCTCAAGCAAATGAAGGGAATGCTGGTGGTCAGAGTCACAAAAAAGGGGAAGATGAAATTAAACGGCCCACTGTCTGATAATAAATCTAAATAAGAATCCCATGTTTGTGGGTGTTGAGGCTGTCTCTGTGACCTCCAATGACCTCATTAATCCCTCTTGTTACAATCATGAGTCACTCTGAATACTTTATGGCATTTATTCCTCCCTACCTCTAAGAACTGGGGAAAAAACCAATGCATTTTGATGTATTCAAGGACAGTTTGATATACAGCGGAGATAAAAACACATGTACGGAGAGACCACAGGGTGATGCTGTAACATAAAGACATTAAGAGGCAGGTTAGTCCATGAGGACACATTTATGTTATGGCCTTACTGCGCCTGTAGAAAGATAACAGCCACATGGTTTTAATATAATATAGGCTAATTTCACAACGGCTAGAGACACAGTGAGACATTAGCATCTAATGAAACATTTAAACTACTAGTGAGGACATCTGACATTAATTTCCACAAAGTAAGGTCTTGTTTTCTGCAATCTGTTCCATGTTAGGGGATTTCTCTGTGTCTCTTTTACAAGGCTGAATTTACCCAAGTACAGAGTCAACGACTGTTTTTAATTTGCAGTCAGAGTGATGTTTTGGAAAGGCACAAATAAAACTGCTCAGCCTGGGAAGCCTGTGAAATTATTTAACATTTGTTTTCAATCGGTCTTTTAAAAAACACGAAACAACTTTTGGATTCAAGTTACTGGAAACTGATCAAACTTTCCAAATTGAAAATATGCTTTGGTCTGGTAAGCCCTGGCTTATGGGATGTGGCTCAGCAAAAACATCTCTACACAAACATTCTAACCTGGAAGAAAAATTCTCAAAAGAAACTCTCTCTCTCCCTCTCACTATACATACATATATATATACAGTAAAACACTGTTTTTCGCGGGGTTACGTTCCAAAAAGAACCCGTGATAGGCAAAATCCGTGAAGTAGAAATCTTTATTTTTTTTACAATTAAATACTCAGAAAAGGAAGAGAAAGAACGAACAAACCATTTTACAGTCTCAAACAGTTGTTTCACAAATAAAGTAAAATAAAAGTACTTTAGAAACGATTCAACAAATAACTTCTGTAATGTACTGTCAAATAATAATTTTAATCATCAACGTGAACAGAAGCCTTCAAATTGCGGAGATTAGCACCGCCCACCGGGATCGGGAGAAAATTAAAAATGATTATGAAAAAAATACAAATTACCTGGTCTTGTTGCGGGCAGTTGCAACCCTTTTTGAATCCTTATTAAAACTTATTGCTGCTGTCTTCCTTATGTTTTTTTCTTCCTTCTATGGAACGAACGGAAGATTCATTAATTCCATAATGCCGACCTACAGCCGCATAGCTTTTAGCTTCATTTAGCATGTCCAATAGTTTTACTTTATCACCGATAGACAGCATCTTCCGCTGCCTTTTGGTCCCTACCGCAGGTACTTTTGCCGGTCCAGAGCGGTTTGTCGACATTATGGGGTTTGATAAACTCGAAATTGCAAGAGAATTTGCACGTACGTAATGTCAATTTGGCAAGCTGTTTTACGTACGTGTACATATTAAACCGCAACGTTATTGGCGCACAGGTAGAGAAGAAGCGGAGTGACTTTTTAGCCAATCAGAATGCAGAACACAATGCACGATGTAAATCCGTGAAGTAGCGAAACCGTGAAAAGTAAACCGCGTTATCACTGTATATATATATATATATATATGTATATATATATATACATATATATATAAGGCATGATTCACTGATGCAATTTTACTCTAATTTTAAAGCATTTCGACTTCCCTTATCTTTGTTTTTTTTTTTCGAATAACTACTACTGCATATACGAGAAACGTTTTCAAATATGTACCAAGCTTCTGAGTTCATCAAGGAGAGACAGCTGGTAATGATATTAAAATAAATAATTTGATGTTCTTGATGTTTGTGTACACATATGGTCTTGTTTACTGTACATATTAGCATTGTCTTTATACCATGTTTTTTTAAACTTAATATGAGTGTGAGTATTTCCTTGTTGTACTGATACTGACTGAGACTCAAGTTTAACCAAAACCACAGATGTAAACACTAACAACCATATATATAAATATATATGTATATATGAATAAATATATATATATATATTTATATATATATATATACACTAAAATGACCTGAGACATAAAAACGAGCTTGAATCTCCTATATTCTTCACATGACACAGTATATAAAATAACATAACAATAAAATTATGTCACAAATTCAAAGGTGACAACGATTGTGTAGAACAGGGGTCTCACACTCAAATGAGCTGAGGCCCACTGGTGCAGAATGATAAACATTATCACAGCATTGAAAATGGAAAAAAAAAGGCATCTTTAAATCTACAACGTCTTAGACGTACTGTATACACAGCCGATTATTGTCTGGCTTACTAAGAAATAATCACCACTTACACAGTGGAATTTTACAAGTACTCTGCCCTGCTTTCAAAGGCTGCTCCACTGACTCAGTGCAATCAGACACAAAAGTGAGCCTGCTAACATTTCTAACCACAAAGGCCTTTTAAACAGAGTAACACACAACCAGCCTGTTCCAGCCCCCAACTCCACCCCAACCCACATCCTACAAAAAGGAACAAAAAAAAAAAAAAAAGAAAAGACAGAAAGAGAACTAGGCTCAGTTTTCTGTACTAGCCTCGGTGGGATTCTGTAGCCATCAGCTCCTGGTTTCCCTTAGTTACGCAAAACAGCAGCTGTGGAGCTCAGTGGTAATAAACCTGGAACAATTTAACAGCTTTTATTGTTCGTCTGTGGCTTTCAGAACAACTAACCTGTCCTCTCAGGATCTGGCAGAGAGAATCCCACTAGGGCGGCAATGAAAGAGGATCTCATTTACCTAAAAGTGCTTATAAATTTTTAATTTGCTTTAACAAGTAAATTAACAAGTCCCTCATTTGGGAAGTTTTATGGCTAGATGCCACTGAAGGAGAACCATGAAAGTTTTATAGATAATCCACTACCTAGGCTGTGTTACTGACAATAAATTGTCTGTTTCCTGCGGCACTGTCAAATCCCTTTGGTTTCCACCGACTACACTTTGAATATCTCTATATGCTGCCTTTAGAGGTCTATATAGCAAGGTTGTT